TCTGGGGTTCCCGTGGGGCCCAGCTCCGGGCCGGGCTGAGCCTGGGCTGGCTGCTGCCTCCAGGCGCTCTGCGGCTGAACCGAGCGGCCCTGGCTCGCGCCGCGGGCCGACGCCTGAGGCTGCTGCCCCGGCAGACGCATCTCAGGGCAGAGACGGCCGCCGCCGGCGCCGCCTTCGAGAGGAAGAGGAACGTTCTCTGCTGCCTCATCACTCGCATCCTCAAGGCGGAGAAGCAGCTCCACGTTGACAACTTGGTGTTCAGGGTACCGAGGGCAGGAGCGTGGGGGAGGCAGAGAGGGGCCACGCGGGCGCCGTGCGGCAGCGTAACGCAGGCTCTGTCACCACCGCAGGTGATCGACGCCTGTCAGAAGGGCGGCTTTGGCCCGGGCCTGCAGTTCCTGAGCTTCTGCTGCCACAGCGTGGACGTGCTGTCCTGCGTCCTCCGCCTGCTGAGCCAGGGCTATCTGCGGCGCCAGCCGGGGAGGCCCCAGGTTTTGGAGTACGCCTCAGCCGAACCCACAGCACCTCCCGGGGGCCAGGCCCAGATGGTTTTCCGGAGCTCGGCATCAGAGACACCTTTGGATGAGGACAGCGTAGGCTCCCCGTGTCGGTAGGGATGCACGTCACTGGGTCTGAAGGGGTGTGCAGGGCTCATATTATGGCATCTCCACTCTAGAGAAGTGCACGCTTCTCCATGTCAGGTTGGATCCTGGTCTAGACAGCTCAGAGGAGTTTCTCATGACGACGCTGCCTATGCCGACGGGGCACACGCTTAGTCCGGAGGAGGCGACGTTGCTCATGAAGCAGGCAGTAGAGCAAGTCCAGGATACCCTGAGCATCCCGGCTGACACTGCTCAGCATCTCCTCATGCACTGCAGGTGGAATGTGGATTTCCTGATCCAGTGCTACATGGTTGACTGCGAGAAATTGCTATTTGCATCAGGGCTACAAGTACAGGGCGCTCAGCACCCTCCGAGCCCAGGAATGCACTGCCCAGTGTGCATGAACCAGCTGTGCCCCGCTGAAAGCCCACCAACTCTCTGCTGCATGCACTACTGCTGCAAGGTGAAGCTCCTGGGGTCTTTAGCTCCTGTAAATCGGAGGGAAAGGGCTAGGCTTGAGCTTGTTTTCCCAGAAAATATTTTAACAGATTTTACAGATTTCTTTTTTCACTCTCTTTTCAGTTTTCCCAGTTCTGAAGGCCCTTCAGCCCCTGTTCAGTCTCTTTCCACTGTTGTACATTTGAGTACTTAATGATGGTTTGTGGTGGTTTTCTTGGGTGGGACGGAGTCCTAGGGCTGAGATTTTCTTCCTCCGGTGGCCCAGGTGGTGTAGCTCCTGTTTAGCCGTGATCTGTCCTCTTCTGCCTTCACAGCCCTGTTGGAGTGAGTATCTCACAACCTGTATTGAGCAAAACACAGTCCTCAAATGCACCTGTCCCATTTCTGAGTGCTGCGCGCAGCCGACTGCAGCCTTCATCCGTTCTATCCTTTCTTCTGAGGAGGTCGTAGCCAAGGTAGAGTGTGAGGAGGGGTTGCTTGGTGGGTTTTGTTTTGGACAGGGCTAACAGGTTTTCTTGCTGCTGCTTTTCCCCTTCTCACTGCTATAAAAGGCAGTGTGAATTGGAGCAGACTGGGCATCTGCCCAGCAGTATTTGCAGTCTCTGGCCATCCTTAACACCAGATAGGCAAGAAAGCAGACTATCAGTGAAAGAGCATAGTGGTATTGCATTTAAATGCTTTCCTGAGCCTCGAGAAGGCCATTCCTGCAAGATTGCTGAAGTTTACTCTCACCTTTGTTTCCCTTCTCTCAAGTTCCTTAGGAGCCTATTCTTTCAGATGTCTTCTCCCATTCTCTACCCAGGGATTCCTTGCTGGGAGTCATGCCACAGGCTCTCACCTGGATTCAGCCCATTCCATGCATTTTCCTCAAAGATCTTTTTGTTAGTGTTGCTGTGAGTGTTGCTCAATCAAGGCGACCTTGATTGAAACTTCTGAGTTTCTTCCCAGACCTTCACTAGGCACTTGGTCCCTTCCCTTTTAGGCTTCCTTTCATAGTTTCAATAGGAGCTGTAGGAGCATAGTTTTAATAGGAGCTGGGTTTTTGCTTAAACTCCTTCATACCACCATAAAAATAGGATTAAAAAAAGAGATGTAGACATTAGAGGCTGTGAAATTCGGTCACCTGCTGAGAAAGCTCAAGTGGTTTGTCACTGCCTGCTGACTCAATACATTGATTTGTCTCTCTGGGTATTGGAATCTGAGCAGAAAAGATCATGCCTCCTGTCAACAGGGTAACAGCAGACACCACTCCCTGACAAAATAGGTGGCTTTGGTGAGATTTTGCAGCCACATGCATCTTAGCCAAGGCACAGAGTGACACAGGCACAAATTGAAATGTAAGAAATTCAGTAAAGTGTTGACACTTTAAGTGTTATCAAACACTGGAGCAAGTTACCGAAGAGAATTTGTGGACTCTCCATCCTTGGTGATGCACAAAGGGGTTGAAAGAGCAAACTTAACTCAGTGCAGTTTTTTTATGAGCATTTGGTGAATGAAGTATAGGACCCAAAGGTACCAAGACCCCGTAGAAAGGTCTAACCACATCATTTCTCCTCCTTAAATCCTTTCCCTGGTTTCTCGTTGCAGTATGAAAAAGCCGTTCTCAGAAGCTATGTTGAATGTTGCTCCAATCTGACATGGTGCACCAACCCGCAAGGCTGCGATCAGATCCTTTGCAAGGATGGCCTTGGCTATGGGGAGGCCTGTTCCAAGTGCTCCTGGGTATCCTGTTTCAGCTGCAGTTTCCCAGAGGTGAGGTCGAGTCTAAGGACACTGCTGCCTTGAGTTCAGCACACATCCGTTTCTGTGTGTCCGACTGGCTCGCTCTTTCAGGCACATTACCCTGCCAGCTGCAACCACATGTCTCAGTGGGTGGACGATGATGGCTACTATGAGGGAATGACAAGTGAAGCCCAAAGCAAACACCTGGCTAAACTCATTTCCAAACACTGCCCAAACTGCCAGGCTCAGATAGAGAAGAATGAGGGCTGTCTGCAGTGAGTATCCACTCTTGTTTGGTACTGGGGGCAGAAAGGTGTGCTTGTTTTGGGGCTGTTGAGTGAGAGACATAGCATAATCTGATTACAATTCTAGAGGACTAAGTGATCATAACAAATTGCTAGGATAAAGAAGGTGTTCCTCAGCATTTAGAGTTAAATCTCTCGATAGCTGTGCTAGGTAGAACCAAAACTCACTTTGCAGTACTGTTTTTAGCACAGCAGTGGGCATCCAAGCACTTTTTGTTGGCTGTTGTTGTTTGTCTCCCTTTTTTCCTTTTCCCTTTCCCTTTTCCTTTTATCCTTACCTGTTTCTGTAACTTTAAACGATTTCTTTTAACTAGCTGCATGTGTTTTTTAAATTGGGTTGGATCTGTGGCAGCTCTTTCCTTGGGCAGAGAGGCCCCTGCAGCACCCCCCAGCTTTGAGGCAAGGGCTCAGGAGCTGCCATCAAGGCAGCTCTTTGTGTCTTGAGGTGGCTCCGCACTTAGTGCCCAGCTGTGCTTTTTGTGGCCTCAAGCCTGCATTTGGTCCCAGGGCTGTGTGGTGGAGTGCTGCACTGCTGAGGGAAGAGGTGAGATGTTCATGTGTGTCTTGCTCCAAAGCCTGGGAATGCTGAGCTCGCCGCCTAGTGCTTGGTGGATCTGTGTTGTCAGGTGCGCTGCCAGTTACCCCAGCTTGTTTTTGGACACCCAGTGTTCTGTGTGTGTGTTTTGTTCGCTTCCAGCAAAAGGTTTAAAAATGCGTCCGTGGTAGCGCATAGTGCAAGTGAGTGAGGGTTGCTAGGCTGGCACATTGCCCCCCTGCGGCGCAGGGAGCGCCGAGGGCAGCTGTTTGCAAGTGGCTGTTGGGCCTGAATGGTTTCTGTTCTTCTCCCCAACACTGCGCAGTATGACGTGTGCCAAGTGTAATCACGGCTTCTGCTGGCATTGCCTCAAGCCCTGGAGGCCGACCCATAAGGATTATTACAACTGCTCTGCTATGGTGAGTGGTTTGCTGGACCCCAGTGGTTCATGTTTGTGTTCAGATTCACCTAGTCTCTCAGGTAGAGAGTAAGGATTTCCTCTTGAACCCCCTGAGGTGGATTTTATTTGGTTCATCTGCCTATGATATTGCCAGTAGTCAAGATCTCTGTGGTAGCCACCTCTGAGATGATTCTGGCAACTGAGAGGACTTGTTACAGGTTACTTTCTGCTTTTCGTTCAGGTGAGCAAAGCAGCTCGGCAGGAGAAACGTTTCCAAGATTACAATGAGAGATGCACCTTTCACCATCAGGCAAGGGTAAGGAACACCCTCTCATCCCCCAGATGCACGTGGGGATTCCTGGTCACATCACCCTTGCTCTGGCCTAAGATAAAGCTTTTGGCCTGCTTTGTTCTGTTCTGAGAGCCAAGCGCAGCCTGGGTTCCTGGGGTTTGCCTGCTCACACTGATGCAGTGGTGGAAGACAATTGCAGGCAATAAAGAAGATAATGCACGTGCAGAATGTACTGTGTAGAGCTCAGAATCCACACAAGATTGAAGTAAAGAACATACAGAGCATGTCACAGATGTTGTGGCTGTGTCTCCTGCCTGCATCTTCTGGGGTGGTACTTTAAGGTGCTTAGCAATTCTCTGTGTGACAGATGCTGTATTTTAGCCCTTCTAGCATTGCAAATTAACTTTTCTCACCTGTGGTTATTGTTGCAGGAGTTTGCTGTGAGTCTGAGGAACCGGGTTTCTTCCATCAGCGAGATGCCAGAAATTAGAACTTTGACCTTTGTTCTTGATACCTGCAAAGTGTTGGAGCAGGCGCGGAAGGTGAGGGTCGTTATCCAACAGACAATGTTTAGGCTTTATTCTAGTGGTGTGCTATAGGCCTTCCTAAAGCACATAGGTGCAACTGGGAAGACCTTGCTGTGCTCTAACAAGGTGTGACAGAAAAAGCTTGAGGGGAGAAGTGGCAGCAGGGAGGACAAGAGCCCGCTGGCCATTCTTCCCTGCTGTACCCCTGGGCTGGGCGCTCTCTGCCGTGTTCCTCGCAGCTGGGTGAGCTCCAGGTCTTATTGGAACCTCCCTCATGTCAAGTCTGTGGAATCAGCACAGGGATAACCTTACGGATTTTTGTGAAGTGGGTTTGACCCACTACAATGTGAAAAGCTTCAGTGGTGTGGCATGTACTTTTAGAAAGCTCTTCTCTGATTTTGTCACAGGTAGAGAGTCCCTCCTGATGCTCATTTTATGATCTTTACATTTTTTCCTTCCTCCATGAGTCCTGGATGTTATGCGAGCACTGAGTTACCTGTGCATGTCCTGACAGCCACTGCAGCTGCTTGATGCATGCAGTAAGCATGTGCCAGGATAGGCCTGCAGTGTCTTGCTGTCTCTCAAAACACAGAAAGAGGAAGGAAGATGCACCTTTCTAACCCATGTCTTGATTGTGCCGGCAGGTTTGATGTTGGGAGAGATACACACAGTATGAATTGGAGGTGGCTGACCCTGTTTCATCTTCTCATTAGGGTAGCCCCTGCGTTTGCCAGGGTGTGCATCACCTTTGCTTGCTGCTGCTGGTGGCACTCCTGGACTCATTTCTTTAAATAGAAGCAGTGGTTGTGTTCCTGCTGAGGGCTTGGAGGGCTTTAGGAGTCGTTTATGATGTTAGGATGTTGTCACTTACTCAAACCACCCTAGAGCAGGCTTTTCTCAGCCACTGATAATCCCTAAATTCTCTTAAGAGTTTGATGCTGCTCTCAGGCTCTTCACTTGCCCACTCCAAAGCTGAAAGAGGGTGCTTCCAGTGTCCTCTCTGCTGCTCCAGGTGTTGGCCTACTCCTGTGTGTACAGCTACTATAGCCAGGACACTGAGAGGGTGGACATCATGGAAGAGCAGATTGAGAGCTTGGAGCTGCACACCAATACTCTGCAGATCCTACTGGGTAAGACCCACAGCCTCTCTGTGCAGAAACCGACAGTTCCTTCTGTCTGGTCACAAGGTGGGGTAATTCTGTAGTGAGGCAATAGGATGCACATCAGTACCCAGCAGGTGCTTATTCATGTCTTCTGGCCCATCTCTGGCTACCTGATGTCATTTCTGGGGAGTCCACTGAAACAGTTTGGCTTCAGGCAGTGATTTTATGCAGAAAGGAGGGTCTTCAACATGTTCCCTCCTGAATGGATTATGTGTACAAGGGACCTAAGTAGTTGTGACTGGCTGTGTAGTCAGAGACAAGGCACGGTTTCCGCTTACGAGCGTGAGAAGTATGGCTTTGCTGTCCTTGAATTGCAGAGGAAACACTGCTGCAGTGTCAGGATCTGGCCTCCTCTCTCCAGCTCCTGAAAGCAGAGCATTTCAGCACTGGTTTGGAATTGTCGCACCGGATTCAAGAGCGTCTCTTTGCGGTTCTCTGGCACTCCACACAGGTGAAATTCATGTTCATGTTGGTAGCTTGTCTTGTCCAACTGTAGTTTGATCTTGGGGCTTGATGTTGGCAAGCCTAAAAAGGGGCTTCATCAACTAAGAGGGGAAACTGAGGTGCTGCATGGGCCCTGAGTATGTGTGTGTGCAGGAGAGAGGGGTTTGCAGCAGAAAGTGTACCCCAAATCATATGTTGCCTCTCTCTTTTGGCTCTTCTTCCATTCTGGCAGGATTTCTGTGTTGGGCTCCAGGTTTTGACAGATCCTGGTCAGAGTAAGGTGAAAATCTCAAATGTGCCTGCAGAAGCCCCTGATTTTATAGGGTGAGTTTCCTTAGGGGAAAGGTGGTAAGGGCTGAAATAAAACAGGTGAGCGGAGCTTTTATTTTATGGTAACTAATATGCCAAAGAGTTAACATTAGAAACCAGGTACTTGCATGTTCAGGTTTGATATAATAATGTAAGTGACATAGTGGTGCAGGGAGCTCAGTGAAACCTCTGCCTAGTTTGTGGTTATAATTGAAGAAAGCTGGGTCTGCCAGTGACAGAGGGATGGAGGTCACTCTGCCATGACTCTCTTGGATTCCTGCAGAGAATGCCCCACCCTTTCTTTGGAGGGGTGTTGGTGGTGTCTAAATGAGAAGAACAAGAACAAAAACATGCATGGAGTGAGATATAACACGTTAGGGAGGGAATGGGGAAGAGGTAACACAGATTTAAGAGGTAGGTTTGTTTTGTGACCCTTTTGTGTCATTTGTTGTGGCCCTGTCCCAGAGCACTGAGACAAGCAGGGTTCGGTGTGTCTGAAAGGTGAAGAGTTCAAAACAGATGAAGCATTTCTGAATGTTCTATATCTGGTTTAAACCACAGAACGCTACTGGTGTGTCTCCTGTTCCACTGTGTTTGATCCCCTTGGCAGCTGCCATGCTTCTCAGGCATGGCTTTGGCTGGGGATGTTGAAATGGTGGTGGTGGGAGAGTGAGGTTTGCATGGTGCTGGGCCACGATAGTTTCTTGCAGCCTGGGAATGGGCAAGGCCTGTGTTCTGATGCTCTCCTCCTGAATAGGCCAAAGCCTGCCGTTTTACCTGACTCCCCTGACGCAGACGAAGAGGAGGATGAAGATGAAGAGTGTGAACCACAGTGGCAGGAAGACTATGATGATGATGACGACCTTGATGAAGACAATTTTTTGTTTGACGATGAGTCAGATAACCTTGATCATGATTCTTACTATGATGATGATGATGTCTATGACTAGAGCTGGGTTGTCACCAGGCCTGCCAGCCCAGACCCCTGAATTGGCGTTGTCTCACCCTGCTTGCATATGGATGTCTTCTTGAAGACTGGTGGAAGCTCTCAGGTAGAATGAAGAGACATTTCTTTAGGGGACTGCTTGCTCGCTGACTGATTTAACATGCAAAGGCATTGCTGTGGCCATGTGGGCTGTGTTACTGCGGTCACCTCTCTGAGATGTGCATTTCCTTTCCTTTCTCCCTTGTCTCTGAAGGGCCTTTCTACCCATAGATACAATCATCTAATTGAACTAGAAAATAACAGCCCAGCTCCAAAGTGAGGGCCGCTTGATGCCTCTTTAAGGATTGGTTAGTGTTCTCTGGAGTCCTGTCTGCAAGGGCACAAGGGCCATTGCAGTGGCACACATCCTGTCAGGATACTCTCAAAGCCAGTCAGTGGCAAGAAACACTATAAAGCAATGTGTTTACACTGAAGCAAAAACCTCACTGCTGGAGCTTGTGGGGATTGCTTTGAATTAACACATAGCTTGTGGATTCATATAGCTCTGTGCATGTGTTTAGCTGAGGAGACAGTTTTGTGCCCCAGCATTTTTTTTGCTTTTTTTGTTGTTGTTGTTTTTGCTTTCTATCCTGTAAAGCTGGAAGGGTCACTGTGAATGGTGCAAGTTTGCAGAGCTGTCTTCAGTGTATAAGTACTTGGAACACACAAGTGCACAGAAGCTGCTCAAATGTTACTTTATCTTCCCAGGAAAAAAAAAAAAAGGAAAAAGGGTTGAACAAGTTGTTTATAAAATAAATAGTTTTCTTCTAGAGCTAGCCTCTGTGTCTTCTATTGTGTCTTTAGGTACAAAGTGAAAGCAGGACATCCTCAAGGGAGATGTGACCCAGACAAATTATCCAAGAATTAGTTGTGAAACTCATGTAGTGTGGTATGTATGCCCAGACCAGGCTCTCTACTCTTATGCTGGCAGCTCCCAATCACTTTCTTCTGTTCCATAACTTTCCCAAGGACTGATGGGTGGATGAACCTCTAAATTCCTGGATTCTACTTCTTCTAACAGTGTCTGCCCTGACCTTTCAAAGATGCCTGAGAGGGGCTGTGCTATCATTTGGCTCTTTTGGCATCCTTAGAGGCATCTCACCTAGTTCCATAGGCACATGAATGTGTAATAGGCTCAAGGGGTCCCTAAATCTGTCATCCCCAACTGTGGGTACTGCTTCACTCCTACAGTCTCAGCTAAGAGATTTGAAGACGTGCGAGGCCTGAGAGTAGGCCCTCTTCGACAAAACTGAAACAAAACACATCAAGTACCTGAACCTTTTCCTGTGTTCCTTGTGATTAAGTTCCCCCCACTCCCATTAGACTCAAGCTGCACTCTCTACTTTTCCTTTTGTGATGGATGTTCTTACAGAACTGTTTCTTGTTGCCCTTCACCTCCCTTGCTAGTCTCAACTCTAGTTGAGCTTTAGTTTTCCTAATGCCCTTCTGCCATGTGACCTTAGAGATTCAATCCTACTTTCTCTCTTTCTCCAGTCCTCAGGACCCAGATATGTGATCCTTTGTCAGAATGTCCTTCTCAGATATTTGGTCTGTTTATAATCCGTAGGACGTGGTTGCTTCTTCATGAGTTAGCAGGAAACCAAAATAAGCTGCTTCACGAAAGCAGAAGCCGAGCGTGTAGTCTCCTATTTCCAGTGTGCTAAATAGGGACATTTGCTCCTTCTCCTGTGCCTACACTATAGGCATTTGTTCCTTCCCCAGAGCAGAGGTCAAAGACACTTGCTCCTTCTCCAGTGTGCTGAATCCAGACATTTGCTGCTTCTCCTGTTCTCACACCACAAACGTTCTCTCCTTCTCCACAGCAGTGCTCCACACACCGCAGAGGTTCACTCTTCCCTTCTGGAAAGTACATAGCACAGTCATTTGCGTTTCTGAAGTCCTCTTGGGACAGTCTATACAGCACGGAGCCTCCTGGCAACTGATCGTTCACCTGTCTTGCAGGGGGAAAAGAATCCTTGCCCAGGAATTGCTGGGGCTCACTGAGGGAGCTTTAAGCTAGGTATGAAGGGAGGGGGATAAAACTGGCATCACTAGGGATGAGCCTAGGGGCAACATGCCAGGGTTGGTGTGACCCAAGTGCAGGACTTGGCACTTGGCCTTGTTGAACCTCATACATTTGGTCTCAGCCCATCGATCCAGCCTGTCCAGATCCCCCTGCAGGGCCTTCCTACCCTCAAGCAGATCAACTCTTCCTCCCAGCTTGGTGTCGTCTGCAAATTTGCTGAGGGTTTGCTCAATCCCCTCATCCAGATCATTGATAAAGATATTAAAGAGACTGTCCTCAACACTGACCCCTGGGGAACACTACTCATGACTCGATGCCAGCTGGATTTAACTCCATTCCCCACCACTCTCTGGGCCCGGCTATCCGGCCAGTTATTCATCCAGTGAAGGGTACCCCTGCCTAAGCCATGAGCTGCCAGCTTCTCCAGGAGAAGGCAGTGGGAGACCATGTTAAAGGCCTTACTGATGTCTAAGTAGACCACATCCACAACCTTTCCCTTATCCACTATGTGGGTCATGTGACTATAGAAGGCGATCAGATCTGTGAGGCAGGATCTGCCTTTCATGGACCCATGTTGGCTGGGCCTGATCCCCTGGTTCTCACGCACATGCTGTGTGATTGCCCTCAAGATGGCCTGCTCCATGACTTTCCCTCACACCCATGTCAGGCTGACAGGCCTGTAGTTCCTTGGATTCTTCATTGGACCCTTCTTTAGATGGATATCACATTAGCAAGTCTCCAGTCATCTGGGACCTCCCCTGGTGACCAGGACTGCTGCTTGGCAAGACTACCAGCTCCTTCAGAACTCTGGGGTGGATCCCATTTGGCCCCACAGACTTGTGGGTGTCCCAGTGGAGTAACAGGTCACTGACTGTTTTTTTTTTTTTTAATCAAAACCTTGCAAACAGCTGGCTGATTCATTACTGAAGGAATGTCTTAGCTTCAGGACACTATGTGGGGCAACCCTCTGGACTGGAGATGAGACAGCCTGAGAGGTTTCACGGAGCCAGGGACTGAGCATTCTGGAAATCCTGGGAGCTGTGATTTGAACTGGGAGATTTTTGGAGCAATCCCTAAACAAATTCAAAACTGAAAGGTTTCCCTGGAGAATTCCTTATCGTCTCTGGCATTTATTTTAATAATTTCAATATTTATCTAGCATATAGATAATGGGTACGCACTGAAGAATGGTTTTAAAAATGACACAAACGTAACGGTTGCAAATACACATGTAGAAGCAGATTTTCAAGGGCATTTAGCAGCTAGACAGAGGCAAATAGTCACCCAGTACATTCAGAACTGAAATCAAGGCACCAAAATTAGTTGAATACTTATGAAAGCCTCTCTGGGTACAGAGTACCTATTCAGACATCTACATGACTCTAAAACCATGGTCTCTGCTTTTAGGAAAGGACCAAAAAGGAAAGGAACAAGCTCAGGTGTGAGACCAGCATGAGAAAAAATGTCTTGAATTGCCTGGTCAGGGAGAGGTAAAAGCAGGCTGTGAAACTTATGCCAACTACAGAATGTCCCAAATGTGTTCCCTGTTGGCACAAATGTTCAGCTGGCTGAACATGAGCCAGCAGTGCCCACGTGGCCAAGAAGGCCAATGTTGGCCTGGTGTGTATCGGGAATAGAGTAGCCAGCAGGACCAGAGAAGTGATTGTTCCCCTGTGCTCAGTGCTGGTGAGGCCGCACCTCGAATCCTGCGTTCAGATTTGGGCCCCTCACTACAAGACAGACATTGAGGTGCTGGAGAGTGTCCAAAGCTGCTGAAGAGGCTGGAGCACAGACCAGCAGCTGGGGTTATTTAGTCTGGAGGGGGCTCAGGGGAGACTTCATCGCTCTCTACAACTACCTGAAAGGAGATTGTAGTGAGTCAGGGGTTGATCTCTTCTCCAGAATAACTACCAACAGGACAAGAGGAAATGGCCTCAAGTTGCACCAGGGGAGGTTCAGGTTAAACATTGGGAAGAATTTTTAACATGGAAAGAGTAGTCAAGCATTGGAACAAGATGTCCAGGGAAGTGATGGAGTCACTGTCCCTAGCAGTGTTTGAGAAACTTGTAGATGAGGCACTTAGGAACATGGTTTAGCAGGTATGATGTTGAAGGGCTGGGACTCAATAATCTTGAAGGTCTTTTCTAACCATTATGATTCTATGATTCTGTGAAGCAGAAGCTGAGGAGGAGGAGCAGGAAGAAGATGAAAAGCCGCTTATTGGCATAACAGCCAATGTGAAATATGAGAAGTGCCTGTCAAAAATCCTATACATGTTCCCTTCTGCTTAGGCTTAGTAATTGGGAGCAAAAAATGTCTAACACATAGTAATTCATCTTTCAAATGAGGTAACATTTGGGATGCCATGGCTGATGTCCTGGATGCACTCTTGGAGCTGATTCCACTTTTACTTTCCCCCTTCTGCCTATAAGGTGCCTTCAGCAGCAAGTAGAAGGGTCTGGTGGGGTGACCCTGCTTGAGCAGGGGTGTTGGACTAGAAGATCTCCAGAGGTCCCTTCCAGTGTCAACCGTTCTGTGAATATGACTCTGGAAATAAAGAATAAAAGGTGAGAAAAACAGAATGTAGAAACTATCTAGAGCTCCTTCTGCCCCTTGCAGCACTGAACTTCCAGGCCATGGCTACAAATCTATCGTCACCACAACATATTGTGTTGACTTGGCGATTGAAGCTGGTGGTGTTCTTCCTCTTGCTGCCCAATGCAATTGAGCATACAGAAAGGTGCTTTGGTGAGAGGTTGTTAAAAAGAAACGGCCAGCAGCAGGGATTGTTAGGGGGGGTCAGGGGCTCCCATTGTACCAGGGACCCACCACACTGGAGCCTTTGATAACATGTAGGGTGGGTCTGGACCGAGATGAAATGTGTTTCTTGATAGACAGGAGGCCTCTCGATCCACTTTGAATTTTATGCCAAAAGGAGGGCAATTGTCAAAATGCTACTTGGTTATCCAAGCAATAAGTGGAAAAGATCTATCTTGACTTCACCAAGGCTTTTGACACCGTCCCTCACAACATCCTCCTGGGCAAGCTCCGGCAGTGTGGGATAGATGAGTGCACAGTGAGGTGGATTAGGAACTGGCTGGATGGCAGGGCCCAGAGAGTGGTGATCAGCGGTGCAGAGTCTAGTTGGAGGCCTGTAGCTAGCGGGGTCCCCCAGGGGACTGTCCTTGGTCCAGTCCTGTTCAATTTATTCATCAATGACCTGGATGAAGGCACAGAGTGCTCCCTCAGCAAGTTTGCTGATGATACCAAACTGGGAGGAGTAGCCGATACCCCAGAGGGCTGTGCTGCCATCCAGAGGGACCTGGACAGACTGGACAACTGGGCGGTGAAAAACCTCATGCAATTCAACAAGGCCAAGTGCAAGGTCCTGCACCTGGGGAGGAATAACCCCAGACACCAGTACAGGCTGGGGACCGAGCTTGTGGAGAGCAGCTCTGCGGAGAAAGACCTGGGTGTCATGGTGGATGATAAGTTGACCATGAGGCAGCAGTGTGCCCTCGTGGCCAAGAAGGCCAATGGGATCCTGGGCTGCATTAAGAAGAGCATCTCTAGCAGGTCGAGGGAGGTGATCCTGCCCCTCTACTCAGCCCTGGTGAGGCCGCATCTGGAGTACTGTGTCCAGTTCTGGGCTCCACAGTACAAGAGGGATGTGGAGCTGCTCAAAGAGTCCAGCACAGGGCTACAGGGATGATCAGGGGCCTGGAACATCTGCCGTATGAGGAGCGGCTGAGGGAGCTGGGCCTGTTCAGCCTAGGGAAGAGAAGGCTGAGAGGGGATCTAATCAGTGTCTATAAGTACCTCAAGGGAGGGAGTGCAGAGGACGGTGCTGGTCTCTTTTCAGTGGTGGCCACTGATCGGACTAGAGGAAATGGCCGGAAACTGAAACATCAAAAATTCCATAGGAACTTAAGGAAAAATTTCTTAACAGTGAGGGTGACAGAGCACTGGAACAGGCTGCCCAGAGAGGTTGTGGAGTCTCCTTCTCTGGAGATCTTCAAAACCCGCTTGGATACAGTCCTGTGCCACGTGCTCTAGGTGTCCCTGCGTGTGCAGGGGGGTTGGACTAGATGACCTCTAGAGGTCCCTTCCAACCCTAAGCATTCTATGGTTCTATGATTCTATGATTCTAAGATGAGCAAGTGCATCATATCCAGATGCTATTAGTAGACATGGGGGATAAAATTGAGATGCAATTACTTTTTGTCCCAAATTGTGACTGCAATCTGCTGGAAAGGGATTTGATGGCTAAATTGGGAATGTAAATCAATGTTGTAAGGGATGATAAAGAAGCTAACACTATTGTAACTTTGTGCAAAATGTCTGATAAAGCTTATGCTGATGTGAACTCAGAAGTGTGGGCAGTTCCAGGAAAATACGGAAAACTAGACATGGAACCTCTCCAAATTACTTTATAGTAAGCAGGCCAGGTAGTCTCTAAAAAGCAGTATCCTATTTTATGTGAGAGAAGGAAAGGGTTACAACCTATTAGCGAGTCTCTACTGGGAGCAGGACTTTTGGAGCCATGTATGTCTCCGTCTAATACTCCCATACTGTCAGACAAGAAATGGGATGGAACCTACAGAATGGTACAGGACTTAAGAGCAATAAATGAAATGATCAAACCAAGACATCCCACAGTTCTGGATCTGTACATCATTCTAAATCAGATCCCCTCTTCGCATCCGTACTATTCAGTACTTGATTTGAAAAATGCTTTTTTGGGGATGTCTGCTCACAGAGGCTAGTAAACAGTATTATGCCTTTGAATGGGAACTTTTAAAAGGCATCTTAAGAAACTAGAGCATACTCGGCCCAGTGCACACTGAGGCCCTGGGAGGCCGCACGAAAGCCCATAGGGCCCTCCCGATTCGGTGCACATGGAGGCCCCAGGGGGCCGCAGGAAAGGCCATAGGGCTTCCCAGCCCAGTGCGCGTGGAGGCCCTGGGAGGCTGCACGGAAGCCCATAGTGCCCTTGGGGCTCTGTGTGCATGGAGGCCCTGGGAGCCCGCACGAAAGCCCGTAGGGCCCCCCAGCCCAGTGTGCATGGAGGTCCCGGGAGCACGCATGAAAGCCTTTGTGCACTGGGCATGGACCAGTCAAAATATTTTATTCTTCTGTGACTTTTGAAGTATTAGTATATTACATTCCATTCCATATTACATTAAGAGCACATAGGTAAGCTGAACAGCACAGCGTCCACACTCTCCCATCACAGGGAAAAGTGAAAAGAGGTCATAATTTACAATGACAGAGTGGTGCTCTAAGCAGTTGGCCCAGTATTGTCTCCTAAATTCATCTAACCAAGTATCTATTAGTCCTTTTCTTTGGAAAATATGTTCCAACCAGTCACTCCATTGCACCTTCATTCTCTTCTTTTTTTTTTTAAGCTACATTATGGCAGGCCTAGGTAAAATACAGTCACACATGCATACATGTATTCCCCAGGTGCACAGGAGGGAAGCAAGCACCGTGTCAGTTAGCACTGTGCAGCTGAACAGCACCACCTACACTTCCAACATTCAACCTGAGTAAATGTTTCAGCGTGTTTTCCTATATCTTGCTGGTTTAGCTGTCTGGGAAGTGGGGGGAGTGTCAAGGCCGTGTCTGGAACACCATAGCAGACTTTTTTTGAGGCCCTTTCCCCAAGGCCCCAAGGCCCCCGCCACGCACGCAACTGTCCGGATTTCACGCGGAAACGTGAAATCTGCGGCCGCGGAAACGCGGCCTAAAAGCCGCCAGGGCACAAACGCCGCCTCGCCCCCTTGCCCGGACCTCAGGTCTCGCTCGCCTTCCCCCGCACGCAGCGACCGTTAGAACCGTTGGAACCGTTGGCGGAGCCGCGCGCGCGGGGTGACGCGTCACGAGGGGCAGGGCGGGCCAGGACCCCCGCGCGGCGGGGGGG